CCACCCGCTGCTGTGACACAGCTGCAACAATCCTTCCGGGGTGCCTTCCATCAGATTCTCCCGAAGAGTCTTCCTTGGGAAGACGTAGACAGGGGTAGATATGCCCCAGTGGCAGTCACAGCGACACACTTCGTGACAAGTTCAGCCCTCTCCGCAGAGGTGACCTCTCCGACCTGTTTGTCTCTCTTTCCAGCAATGACTTTTCCAGGCTTCTGTACAGTCGTGAATTCCAGTTTCATCTAAATTTAAAATCCTTGCACCTGAGGCTCCCGTCTGTTTCAAAAACCTCAGACAGGTTTCCGAAGAATTCCTGGACATTGTGTCTGTTGAAGACTCCAGCTCGCGCTGGACGTAGCTTTAGGTTTCCGCAGTGCCAGCTGGGTGTTCCTTTTCATGAAGGCCTTCATCCACTCGCACCCCGCTTCTTCATTTTCAGCCCAGGAGGCGGCAAAATGCTTGTCATTTTTAACCGCTATTTGGTGGGCAACTTCACGTGTTTGCTTGTGCGTTAAACCATGGAACATCTTCGAGCACTGCATTACATATTCACCGAGGACTTGCTCCTCGTCAGCAGTGAATATCTTCGAATGACTGTAGTTGGGCTCAAGACCAGCTGCAGGATCGACGCCGTGCTTTGCGACATACCTTCCAAGGACGCTTTTGGTCACACTGTGGGGTTCTGCAGCTTTTCTCAGACTCACTCCCCCTTCTACAACATCTTTGACAGCCAGCAGCATTGAATCATGAGATATGTCTCCGTACCCCTTTTCTTTTCTAACGGATACACGTGGCATGGTTCTGAAAGAAGAAAAACAGGTGAGTAAGTTTCAGTAAAAACAGATATATCAATTTATAGGTATGTGCAGTATTGTGCACGAGTGACACTAATGGTTCCTGCAGGAGAATTGGGACATCTGCATGACGATAGGGACGGGTGTCCCGATTCTCCTGCAGCGCACGCTACCTACTAGAGGAGTTCTCCGCCGTTCGTAAATTGGCTTATGTAATTTTAGACGCAAGCAAGAAAATTAGCATTATGTGAGCCTGCAATGTGAAATAGTTAAAAGAAAAGATGGCTTGACATGAACAGCACACACAACTTGATATAACACTCGAAAAGTATAGTTTTTTTGGCACTCACCCCGTACAGCGTTCCTGTGCACCAGAAAAGGACAGCTGATAGTTTCCAGCGTTACTTGATACAAAAAGGAAAAACATTGAAGTGCCAGTGGTGATCCGGGGCTGCCCATCTCTAACATATTTGCGTGTCCCTATTCTCCTTCGTCCCAATCCTCCCGCCTCTCCCCTACAAGCACGTTTTCGGTGAAAGATGCCATCTTTTATGATAAGCCTTGTTGAAAATATCCCGTGTCATTTCACGTCGCCACGCACGAAAGTTCTCGGCACGCCGCCGTATCACGTGACGAAAATGGCCATTAAGCTACTGACGACATGCAATGGTCAGTGTAAACACGCTGCACACTATCTGTTGTTGCGCTAAATATATTTTTTCGGTCGGAATTCCATACACTGCTTTGCCGACAGCGCTCTCCTTGGCTGGACACGCGACACGCTCACTGAACGCCGGGCGACCCCGGATCGGCCCGCGGCTCAAACAGGTTCTCTCGCATTCCATGGAGCCCTGTGAGGTGCCTCCCAGCTGGGTCAGCGGCGTCTTCCGTTCCAACGAGCTTATTTAACATAATTTATGCGGGTACAAAAGGGGACTTTGCCATAGTATACCATACCATTACCTTACCATAGTGAGCTTTGCCATGTTTCTGTTTCTTTGCTTGCACGGTGTTGTCATTCGCACATGCAAACGCGACGCGGCAAGGCGCTCATTGCAAACTCGTCACACCGGCACCGGTAGAGAAGCCGGGCGAGGATCGGGCACAGCCCTCGCACGCCACACCAACCTTTAACTTCGTCTTTAAGGCGATGCTTCGAGAGATGCATCAACTAGAGGTTTACCCCCGGCTCGTTCCCACGCTCCTGCCAACAGGAAGCTTTCTGGCTTAGCCTGCAAGCCCAATAGTTCCTCCATTTCCCACAGCCCGTAAGCATTCGCAGAGAACACCGGAGACGGGGCTTTTTCAAATTCGGAGAGCGCATTCCAACCGTTGTGGCATCAATCATCGACGAGCGGGCAGCAGAACGGTGCAATATAAAGTGACTCGTAAAAGATGCTTGAATTGATAAATACACCCACGTTTGGTCACTTGCGTTTTTCGAAACCTGTACGGGGATCGACAGATTCACGCCGGCGCTCAACTAATGTGGACTGCGTATATTTCATGTCAATTCGATGAAGCGTATAACAATGAGCGTAAAGCGAAATCCATCGTCCCATGCCATACACACGGCATGGATGAAGAAGCGACGATGAAACTGTTACAAATGCCACCGCACAACTCGTCTAGAAAACGTATGGAACTCGGGACAACAGCTCGCCGATCCTAGGAGCCTCGCTTCTGCAGGTGATGTCATCGAACCTCGGACCTCCGAAAAAGTAGTCTTCGCCGAAACTCATGGAATTCAATAAGACAAACACCGGTAGCGCAGGACCCGAACACAAAGGTACCCATTGTCCGTCACCGCAACCCAGCCAACTGGACAGCTACAAAACAGAACACTGCAGCGGGTCAAAGCAACTTGAAAGCGGAGAATCACACACACACTTTACGTCAGCGACAGATGATGGCGATACGACAGCGTCTTGCTGTAACCGCGCACGACCGGCCGCGATCGGGGCAGACATTGAGACCGCGAAGGCACCAGACCGACCGCTGCTCCACAGCCAGGTGGTGGCACCGCCCTGCGCCATCGCATCACACACAAACGGTGTCGCCTCTCAGCGGCTCGTGTCAGCACCAGTCCCGCGCGGCGGCTCGGCCCCTGCAAGCACAACGCGAATCCCTAACCCCCGCACAGGCCGTCCATCTTCACGTTCTCGCACAGAGCACAGCCCCGCGCGTCTCACTACCCATCCCGCAACGCACACGGGCCACCGCCCCCCCCCCCCCGCGGGCGTCAGCCGCCGTCCGAGTGTCGCCTGGCGCTGTCCGGTCCGCCCCAGAGCCCGCGGGCGACACTACCGGCCGGCGCGCGCCCCGGACCGGGACAGCGAGCGGCCCAGGCTCTCCTGGATCGAGAGCTGGCTGCGGCCGCGCCGCGCCGGCCGCCGCAGACGGTACGCGTCCTCGCTGCCCTTCCTGCGGTCCACCTGGCGACACGAGGCGGGTCAGACGTGAGGACCGGCCGTGGCGGCGTCAAGGATCGCTCGGCCCCTACAGCTGTTTCGTCCACAGAGGGGGGGGGGGGGGGCGAGTCTGGCGTTGAGTCACGCCACTTGCTGAGAGCACAGCAACGAACTCACTGGAGGAAGCACTTGGTTGTTGGCCTGCGGCGCAAAAACAGGTCACCCATTCAGTCGTGCCTGATCTGATCCTCCCCTAAGCCCCACAGCAGACGGCTTCAGTCGGGTGTGACCCCAGGTGAGGGTGTGGCTCCGGGCGTGGGTGTGGGTGGGTGTGGCCCGCCGCGGCACGCTGCTCCCGACCAACCCAACGGCCGTGTGTGGCGCACGGCTGCAGCGCGTCAGCTCTGAGAGGTAGCTCACCG